AGCCCGCAACATCCGAATTAAATACAATTCGGTTGGCAGCCTTACGTGTTAAATGTCAAAGAGTGTAAACTCATACAAGCCCATTGATTGAAATATTCAGCACTTGAGTTTTAAAACTGCTTTTAAATGTTTGTATAATCCAAGTGTTAGAATAAGAAGATATATATCCAGTTTGAGAAACATAAATAAATAACACATAGGTCTGTGGGTAACAGTAAAGATATCATCCCGAGGAAAATAATGTTACCCGAGGCGCAGCCGAGGGTAACAGTATTTTTACGAGGGATGATAATTTTACTGTTACTGTCCGTTTAGGATAATTATTTAGTGACGCGTCGGTCAAGTCCACTATTACGGTGTAAAACAGTTATTACACTGTATTTGTTATCTGTAGGCAAGCAAAGTAGCGATATAAATTAAAATATCGACAAATTTATCAACTGTCAGCGTAACGCAGTAGGTAAGGATATCGCCTGTTAATTTTCTAGTTAAATATCAATGCAAGACAGTCAGACTTTGATTGTTTTTCTTTTCGCAAAGATTTTTTTTTGTAAAGATTATAAGGGTTGTGTTATTTTCTTATTTCAATCTTTTTTCTTTCTTTCCTTCTTTTCTTCTTTTTTTAATTTTTTTTATATATTTCAATGTTATATTTATATATATAACTAATCAATTTATTTCATAACAATTATTTTCAATTCAGTTCAATATTTTGAAAAACAATACATTAACTTCATTCCGATGATTCCGAGTCCGTCAACACGTCCTCACCCTCCTCCGCCGTGTCAGTTTCCTCGTCACTAGAGTGCAATTCTATTACAATCTTTTCTATTTCGGCATCAACTGCGATGTCTAGCTCCCAGTACTGTTTTTCTATTTTTTGAAATACAGTTCTGCCAAAAGTCAACTGTGATGGATGATAAAGCCTCTTCTGTTTTCTGAAGCAGCGCCGTCATGTTGAAGGTTGTATTTTGTCGCGCAACAGATCCCTTCACACCTGCCCACACAAGCTCTATGGCATTAAGATCAGCATGATATGCTGTAAGTCGTAAAACGTCATGGCCATGACATTTCAACAGGCTGTCAAGTACATACCGGGGCGCTGGTTTGTTACTCTTACATAGCTGCAGTAGCTGGGCCTTCAACATGTTATCTTCAAAAACAATACCATGACGACGTAACCAGTCTTGAATTTCGGCTTTACGGTTGGCTTGAGTAGGACACTTGTCGGTTTGAAGATTATGGTACGGAGCGTTGTCCACTATCAAGACTGACCTTGCTGGCAAATTTGGAACAAGTTTTTCTCTGACCCACTTCAGGAAATTTTCGCCGTTCATTTCACTGTGATAATCTCCGGTAGATGACTTCGATTTAAACAGCAGTGATGATCCTTCAATAAAGCCATTTTCGTTTCCGGCGTGTACCACAATTAAACGATCCCCTTTGTTCAACGGCGATTTAAGTCCAACAAAAGTTGACTGCCAAGATTTCGCAACTGTATGGGAAGTGTGAAGGAATGTCTCGTCTGTATAGACAATGCTTCTGCCTTCATCCCTGTACTTTTTTATTTGTCTCAGGAAGTGAACTCTGGCTGCAACTATATCTGAACGCTCCATTAGTACACTTCTGTTTGACTGTGTCTTTCTCCATACAAAACCTAATTGATGTAGGGTCTTTCGTAGACTCTCTTTTCCGCCCTTGTAGCCGATTTTCTCGTGTAAGGCTTCTTGAAGGGTCTTAATGTTTGGGATGCGTTTCTGTTGCATAAACATTTCTTGCATTGTCCGTCGAATCACACCAAAATCGAAATCATCCAAGATGACTTTGTCTTTTCTAACCTTCCTTTGAGCAGCCGGCTTGCTCATCATATTTTGTATGCGATAAAACGTGGTCTGTGAGACACCGGTCAAGTTTGCAGCCCTTTCCATGGGTGATGACAATGGAATCTGTAATGCACCAGACTGCTTTTCATCTTTACAGACCTGAAATATGGAAACATATGAATGAATATCAAAGATTTAGGCTTACTATGGAAAACCAGCAAAAGAGTATATAAACACACAACATGCCTTTATAACATGATGCAGAATTTTCTTAGACAATTCGTCGTAATTCTGGTAATTACGACCAGAATTCAATGAAGCCATATCTAGCAAGTTAAGCTGGGGCAAACTTACACTGAATACTGAACGGAATGCATAAATATTCAAAAAATGTTTCATCTATAGTTCAGTTGACACGAAATGCTCGTGCACTGTGCAAGTACTATGACTACTATATACAAGACACTACACAGTTTAAAAAGTCATTATTACCACAAATTTACCAGTGTATTTGAATGATTAAATATTAAATATAAAACTACCTTTATATTCCAATTAATTTGCATCTAATGTAAATTAAAAAAAAATATGGAAAGAAAAAAAGAAAAAGTAAAACAACTTTTGGGGCTCGAACTCATGATAAAATTCACGTTTATTCGCATCCCAAGGACTATACTACCTTTGCTATCAAGACATTTCAAATAATACTTCTTATCTTGTATTATATTCGCTTCTAAAAATCCTGTTTTACCTATACAGACAAAGGTTGTAAACCTTTGTATACACAAAAAATGAAACGTCACTCTCATATTATCATAGCGGCACAGTACATACAAACCCATGTGTTATTTATTTTATAATCCCGAACAAATACTGTGATGATCTGAATTTGTCAACTTAATCTAACTGTAACAAAAATAAACCAAGAGTAGCAATAACTAAACTGTCCTTACCTTGCAAGTTTTAAGTGTACTGTAGGCCTACTTGAGAAGCTGTTTTTCTTTTATTATTTAAGCAAGTGATGATATCTACCAGTCATAAACATAAAATAAGCTGTGTTTTATCTAGAAAACAAAACACTAACCCATTTATAAGGTTATGATCTTTGAAATCTGATCCTTCTGTATCCAGAATATAATTTCTTCGCACGGTTTTTGACAAAGTGCATTTACAAAATAACGATGCTATCCTACAGATGTCTGACGGCCAACTCTATCAAATAATCCTTTGTTGCATGCTTTAATCGTCTGCATGTTCCAGTTTGACACAAACTTATTCACATTACAATAACTTCCGTTGAAAACGGATGTTTATTTTTTGACTATTCAACAAAAAGATATTTCATACGCGAAAAGAACTCTAGGGTGCAAAGAACTAAATTTTATGAGAATCATGGTTACTTTGGTGATGCCTTATCGTCGAAAATAAGAATGAATCGAGGGAAAAATGGCGGCCATTTTATTTCATTTTATTTAGAAAAAAGACGACATGACCAGATTTTATACTGTTAAAAATACTGTTACCTATGTAACAGTACAAAATTCTTAGTCACGTGGTACACTTGCATTAACAGTTAGAATAACTGCCAGAGGCCTATGGGAAATTAACATTACGAAAAAAGTGAGGGGTAATAATGTTTATTATCAAGAGTTTTAATGTCCCCAAGCCAAGCATAATTTTCAAGGTTTGCTCATTTTATGTTATTATAAATAGGATGGTGGGCCAAACGGCGGGTTAACATCAACAGCTGATTTGATTATACAAGTTAAAGACGTGCAGAATAAACCACCTTTCTTCACTGGTACATATAGAAAAAATATCGATGGAAGTATTGCACGTGTATGTAATTCTTTAAGATGTGTTATTTATAACGACGTATTTTAAGACTTGTCTTGCTGTTCTAAATAGTTCAGCTGTCATAAATAGTGTAAAAACATCATGCATGTAAATATATATATTATATATTGAGAAATCCCATTCAGTTCAATTCGTTAAATGACATACAATATGTATTTACATTGAAATTTGTATGACGACTCTAGTTGACATAGCTTTCAAAATCTATTATTAATTTCATAGTAATATTAATATTGCAGCATGCTTAAAAGTTGAGTTCATTATAATAGCCTTATAAGGGAATAACATTGAAAACTGTTATTTCACCGTTCATGATAGGATGTGAAATTCTTCCACCCTAATTTCATGGCAAGCTACAAGAGCAATGATCAGTATCATAGGAGTTTGTTTGTTAAAAATATTAAAATATAGAATATTAGAGTGAAATAGAAACAAAACTTAGGCGATAATGTGATGAAATATCTTAATTTTCTGTAAAAAATTGTCAATATTATAGGACAGCTTTAATTTTTTAAGGGAACTGATGTAATTCAAGTCAACGCTGTTGATGGTGATTCAGGGATATCTAACGAGATATCTTATTCTGTTCTATGTAAGTCACCAGCTTTTTAAAATTCTTATAAATTACGCTTTCTATAGTTTATTGTAGTTATAAACATGGATAACTTTAAGTTCATGGTTTTTGTTGTCAATGTATCACCTTGTTCACGGACAAAATAAAATATTTGATTTATTTCAGAAGTGAGATAAATTGATATAAATGCACTGGTGGAACAGAATTTAACATATATAGGAGTTTTTACCAGTTAGTTACTTTTTATGGATTATAATAAGATTTCCTTCCTTCCAAAAACCAGCTTTAAATCATTTTGTATTGTGAAAACAAAATGCAAAAATAACAAAACAATACGTTAAATTTTATGTTATGTGTTTTTTTTCTATTAAAACTGTTCATAATTTTACTTTTTCATATACACAGATAGCAGTTGTGGAGACGTGTTTGCTATAGACAATCACACCGGTGTCATTTATGCTGCAACGAATGTAGATATAAATACAGGACAAGTCAGCCAACAGTTTGGACACTGTGTTTTGACCATAGAAGTACGTATATTATAAAACAAAGAATATTTTCTTAGGCATGCACATTTAAAATCAAATAAAAAAAACATTGGTCATGTCTTGTTTGAAAACATCGAATTTAAGATTTTCATTTGAAACATTGTTTCACGTTTTGTAAATCATCTTAACATGTTTATGTTATAGCCAATTCTCATGGCTTGCTGTACATATTATGTTGATTTTATTATGTTCTTCTAGGCAAGTGAAATAGAAATGCCACACCAAAAACAGTACGGTTACACAACTACATCGACAAATGTTACGTTAATACTGTTGGGTGTTACATACAACACACTTCCGAGTGTCAGTCCAGCCTGCAATAACGCCGGTACTCAATATACAACTACAAACACATCACCCCCTACCAATATACCGCTTTCTTGCAAAGGTACTAAGTCTTGTCGCTAAAATAATTCACATTTCGACTTACATCTTGCACACAAATATCAATATATCACACACGATTACGGGTTTTATTACAAATAAACCTTATGAGAATTGTAACAACCTCCCTGCTTACTTTATGAAGGTACAGTTATCATCAGTATAACACGTCAATCTATTATAAGGATCTATAAACTACTGTATGTGTATTTAAATTCGCGGAAGCAAATTTTCGCGGAAAGGTCCATTTTGGGGGTATATACAAATATTCGCGCTATTTTGAATTCGCGGAGGTGACTGCTGAAAATCATAAATTCGCGTACATCCATCAGGTTAAAAAATAAGCAAAATTACTCTTACACGATTAGGCAAAATGTTTTTCGCAAGCAGCCTTCTTTCATTTTACATTTTACTGTAATCATTGTGGGACTTAACAGTTATTTTCAACACCTGGTGTCAAACAGTACGCTATTGTACAGAACAAAGACATTCAATTTGTCTAGCGGACAGATTATGGCAAACAAAGGAATGTCCGTTAACGTGCATGATTTTTCACAGTTTTAAACAGCACTGAATGCATTATCTTTTCACCGATTTTATTAAAATGTTGACTGAGTAATTGTGTTTTGTTTTCCATGTTTTCATCAGTCAAAATCGTTTGTGTTTGTGTTATTTGTATTGTGTTTTTAGAAAAACAAAATATAATCTGATCAGATGTCAAGACGTTATGACATAGACTATGAAATAAAGAGCATGATGGAATGGTATTGTTCAAACATGTATATACTTATACAAGAATCCGATAATCATATAGATGCGCGAAAATATGGCTATTAAAAAATTATTGGTGTAGAAATATTCGCGCTGAACATTAATTCGCGGATCGAATGTCACCGCGAAGATCGCGAAAATTTGAAGCCCGCGAATATTTCTACACATACAGTATTCTTTTCCAAACAATACCTTTAGTGTTATCGCCAAACTTATTTCTGTATTTATTCTTAGTGCATAAGTGATTGCGTCTTAAAAAATCAATTTACCTCCAAAGAATTCCATAAAGATGAAGCTTTTGGCTCTTGCAGAAGACTGGGGCTTTGACAATCCTTGCAATAAAAGCAGTGTGCTGAAGGGAGTAACGAAGTTTCCTCACCCTGACTCTATTTTTAAGTTTTTGATATGTGATGCCTCGGGAAAAACATTTTCGGCACAATGTCCAAAGGAAGAGGTAATCATTTCCAATATTATAAGAACTGATTAAAATTTATCTTTTTATGAATGAACATAAAAAGTTTTAAGAAGAATGGGAACATTACTAGCAACATTTATGGCAATCATTTGTTTTGGTAGCTCTTATGATATTTTCGATCTATGTGAAATAATAATTTATTTCCGATTTAATGTCTTCAACAATATTTTTTCTATTCAGGTTTTTCATGCTGATTGCTCTTCATGTGCATTACCAAACCAAACTTTTTCAAAGTCTTGTACGATATCTAATGAGATGTTTAGGAAACCTTGTTCAAAAGAAAATATCATAGCTGGTAAGATAAATAGGCGGATTGATAGATGCATGGGTGGATTGGTGGAGAGAGAGGTAGACTACAGTGGAAACGAATTATAACATAAAACCAATATAAAAATCAAAGGGCTACAAGCTCTGTGGTATTTTCTGATTATTGCAACATAAATTGTACTGTATATCTGTATGTATTTTCCTGTATAAGTTTATTTTTATGTACTTTAATTCATCTTGCAGGGTACAGACTGCGTTTAGATATGTTACTATATAACAGCTTTAGTTTGATACATACGGATTTTTGCATGACTAGAGTTGCAACAAAATTCAATATGTTCATTTTTTATGACAGCCACACTTTATCCTTTCATATCGTGGCTACTTCCTTAAAAGACACTTTGAAAAAAAAGTTGCCTCGACTGGGATTTGAATCCCAGGTCCCTCACACCCTGAGCGAGCGCATTACCCCTGCACCACGGGGGTGATAATTTCGGGGTATCTTGTTCACGATAAACCTGTTGTTCAAAACTGATGTAAATAATTTAGCGAAAATCTTTTCCCCAAAACAGTCCGACATGGATATATATATATATAAAAGCATATTTACTTTACAGGTAATCTGACTTTTCCCCACCCAAACAGCACAAATAAATATATACGCTGTGATAGTCGAGGAAATGCATGGGAAGAAGAATGTTTCTCCGGCTCCTTCTGGGATCAAACAAAGATGATTTGTGTGTTACCGGAAGCTTTCAATCCTTGTCACAGGCGTGACAGCATTGTTCAGACACTTTATCCTCACTACTGTAATCCTCGCTTATATGTCCAGTGTGACAACAACGGTCACCCTTTAGTACACATGTGTCAGAAGGATTACGTGTTTCTAAACAATGATCTTACTTGTTCTCCACCTGGATTTCCAGGTACAGAATATCTAAGGTACACGTGTAACTAGGATTTGAAAGAAATCGCATGTGAAAGAAACATTTTCACCACAGAAAGACTTTTGTATTATTCAGATTGATGATTTTTATAATCATATATGATACGATGTATATATGCATATATATAAGCATTCCAAAACATGATGTGTTTGTCATTTTTACAACAAGTAATTGATCAAGACATAAACTAATTGTAATGAAAATTTAAGTATTTTCAAGATCCATTCAGGTACTCATTATTTATCAAAGTGTTTTTATCCCTGTCTTTTGTGAATAGGTCTGGGCCTTTGAATTTTAAAAATTAACACCGAAATGCCCTTATATGTGAATATAGTCATATATCATACAGTTAAAATTTAGCTACTTGATAGGGAAAAGGGTTGAAATTATGTGTTGGAAAATTAACACATTATTTAAGTCAACTTGGTCTGCTTCTGATAACTACAAATTGTCAAGTGTGAATTTTCATTTTTTTAATAAACAACAGTTTAATTATTCGAAATTTGGATGGCTAAATTCATGTTCATGATTTTTAATCTCAAGAATTAAATACCACGGCCAGAAAGATTTGTATCATTGTTTTCGTTATTAAAAGATAAGTTTAAGATTTAACATAGACAAACTTGTACCATTACCAAAAAAAAAACGATACAGAAACTAATGGCTAATTAGAGATGTAACAAATTAAGTCTGATACTATCAATGGTGATTGCCTCATGACTTTATGCTGAACTTTATCATTTTATTTAATAGGATTCTATTATGGATTTGGAATAAGAAAGGCACAAACTTAAGTGCTAATATTTTGTAAATCAACCAAGGCACATCTTTTATTTCAACTTCATATTAATTCTTTATCATTTCTCTGCTTCATATCGAGTTTGACAAATCTATCTGCGTTTTTTTAATTTGATCATGTGAGAGCGTTTCGCAACATTGTGATATTGCTAAGAAGTATTTCAATGAGTGTCTGAGTGTCTTTATTTTATGATCATTGCAATTATAATAAAACATGATTGTGCTTACTACATGTAACTCTTTAATTAAATTCAAAGATTTAATTACTGATGTTTCTTATCACGAAGTTTGTGATAAGGAGGTTTGTTTGTTTATCTTATCATCTTTGTTACGTTTACTGCATTTCTTTTGTCATCAGAAAGGTTCATCTTACTATTTGCACGTGTGTATTCGTGATTTGAATATATTTGATTAAAATAGGAATACTCATTTATCAAGAATATTTAAAAGTATCAAGTATACAAATAGAACTGGAATAGATCCTGTTTTCTATAGCAATATTTTTGTCATTCATTGTTTGTGTACAAGGAGAAAACAAAATCAAGTGAATTACTGTGTCCTGGATGTTAATTAACATATTCAGTGCTTGCTTTGCGCCAAATTGTATTAAAGTTGTAACGAGTCTACTATACTATATCTTCTGTAACATTTAAGCAACGGCCTTAAAATATCTGAAATGCATTGAAAAAGAATGATTAATTCTGAAAGCTTTATCAGAAAAGCTAACTATTCTGGTAAGAACTGCCGCGTCTTAATGCTGTATACCAAATATTGAGCAGTTGCTGAATAAAAAACTGTTATGAAAATTTCCTACCATTGACCATTAATGGCGACAATTTTACTAAGCCGGTAAACAGGAAGTGGATTAGCGCGAATCCCACAGTATGGGACCACATGTAAGCGCTGTATTCCAAATATCAAGAGGCTGTGGTAAGAAGTTGCTGAGAAAACTGTTACGAAAATTTCCTCCCATTCACCATTCATGTCGAAAATTCAACTTAGTCGGTAAACAGGAAGTGGATAAGCAATAGACGTGAAATCGAATCCCAAGGTATGGGACCACGTGTTAATGCTGTATACAAAATATCAATAAACTGTGATAAGTAGTTGCTGTGAAAACTGTTACGAATATATTTTCCCCGACACACCGACCGACATTCATTATTCTATAACCCGGGTTAGCACCTTGGCAACCCGGCCAAAAATGGGTCAAGCACAGATATGCCCTTGTTGCATTTTATACCAAATATTTTTATTTTAATGATATCACTACATTACAATACTTTTACCAATCGCAACTTTTCGGCCCTTTCCATCAGTCAGAACGGGTCATACCTACGCTAAGAAACTAGATATGTAAATAAATAGTAATTTTTGTGCTGAGGGATGTTGACAAATTTGTTTCAAATATATCAAGAAAATGCACACCTATAATAATCTAATTCATAGATACAAAAGGAATCACTACATAATTTGTTTATTTATTATTATGGTTGTAGAAACCAAAAGTACAAAATTCCAACTGTTGACATTTAGTCGCATTTGTTTAAAATTGTACACCAGTGGGCATATTCAAATTAAAAATGGTTGTCAGACATATTTGCAATCATAAATATACCGAAACAGGCTTAAATTTATTTTGGATGTCAATTATATGTACATTCGTTTCTCTTTATGAACCACGTGGTAGAACTACTTTCACTTCGTATTGTTTCCAAGGTTATTTTAGATAATAGCCGAGGACGTTCCGATTGTATTTTCACAAGCATTATTCAACTCAAAGGAATTGTCAGTCAGTAAAAGCCAACCCACCTCCCTAAAAACAACAACAAAACTACCCTGACTGACCTAAGCCATATAATTTAAATTTGTCTGTAAGTCATTACATAAATAACATTTTTTAATTAATTTGATTAAAATATTATCAATTCGTAACTTAAATAGACTTAGTATTAACATAACTGCAATAGTACTAACAGTATATAATTATTTTTGTATTTTTTTGATAAGCAAATATATGGAAACGGCCAGTTTGTTCAGAAAGAAACGTACACGTCTCTTGTTTAACTAACATGCATTCATCTTAATTTACTTGTCATATAGTCATGCCACTATCACGCCATCTTCTCGTTCTGACGCATCTCTTAATACATCGAGCGACTGTTGTATTTTCCGGGAGACATTTGTGTCACATTAATACTTTCTTATGATATAACTATAAATATTGAACTTTGCAGTAACATCATATTAGACTTTTGCTTTAAGAATAAGAAGAAGAAGCTGAACAGGACATTGAATAGAGAAAAGTTTAAGTATTACAATGAATTAACAATGGACATTTTTTTATGCAGCGAGTGAAACGGAGGCATAAATGTCTGACATATAAAACTGTAAAAGAGTAGTTGGTTTTGCGACAAAATGTGTTTCAACAACTAAAATGCAACGAAACACATAATATATAAAGCCCGTCCAAAACGACAGAATAAATAAAGATTGCGGGCTCAGTTAGTTAAATTTAGCCTGTTCACGGACATTTATGGTAAAATTGTTGTCCATGAGAAGTGAATCTAATACGACTTAAGTCAAAAACATCAGATATATACAAACAAGCTGTAAAATTATGAAACACTTTAACCATCTGAAGTTTTAGCTTCTGATAGATATGGAATTTCACTTTACCAGAATTTCATTAAAATATTATTTATGTACAGTTTATTTTTTTTAGTAAATTAAGTCCAGACCCGTCTAGATATTCATATACTTAACTAACATATTTGTTGTGAAAGGCTTTTCAATGTTCGATTGTAAGTCTCTTTTTTCCCCATATCAAATGCAACAGTTTTGTTCATACATCAATCATCTACTTTATATTTGTTATCGCGTTATGACTTCTTCAATCCCATATTATTAGTAGGTACTCTTTACCCTCATCGAGATTATTTCCATTTACTCCAAAGTCTGTCCTTTTCAGGAAAGTCATGGCGTCTTTTGATAATACTTTTAATTGTCCGCAATCAATGAGAAAACCATTTGTTATTAAACATACAATACACACGAATACACATGCTTACATTGCATTGACTATTGATACGAAACATCACTAACAGATATAATCATAGTGACATATAGTACAGATAAACTCATTTAATTTCTTTACAATAGTATAACTTTGGGACAAGTTCCCACGTTGTCATACACAACATGAGAAAAGGAAATAAGACATTCAGTTTTAAATAGAAATAAAAGATGTATTTTATTTTCAAAATATGAACAGCCCCATGCCTTTTCTTTTTACAAAAGCGTAATCCTAATGTTCTGTCAAGAATTAACTTCTAATTAGTAGTAAAAGCCTAATTAGGACTTTGTTACTTCTGACTTGACTATATAATTCAATATATTGACTGTTATAATGATTGACCAACAGTTGATCCTGGAAATTGTTTAGAATGATATCAATTTGCCTAAGATATAAAAGTACTGCCTATGGATATTAACAAAATATTCCTTGGTGCACGTGAAATATTTTTGCGAAGAAATTTATAAAATTTAAAGGAATTATGGCAACAAGTTCTTTTGACTTTTAACTGTTTACTCATTATATACCTTTTGATGGGCATAATATCACTTTAACAGTATTTAGTGGGATTACTCAAATGCCAAGATCTGCTTTATGTTTTTATTACATTTGATGACACGATTGATACATATGGGGGTTAATTACCTTCCATTATATCATATTCATTCTTTAATTACACGCTCTCTTGGACCTTTGAAAATGGTATGCGTTGAAAAATTACGGCAATATCACACTGTACATATCATTTAACAAAGTATTTTATCCAGTAGAAAGCATCTTTGTTTTCTAAACATAAAGTCACAAAATAACATGGTCTTGTCATTCGAATGACATGTTGTGTTCATCAGCTTAAACTTTTTAATGGTATATCGAAACGGAAGTCATTAAACTGTTAGCTTATCAATCCATTTTGAGCACCCCCAGCAATAAATGACATGATCAACAAAGTTTAAACAAGTATTATCCTAATGAGGAGCAACAAGTCACTGACATCAAAGATGAAAAATATGTAAAATGCAAACTTTCACCCGGCTTTGAATTTGAAACAGCTCGAAGATTAAAAGGCAGAATTTTGATTAAGTTGAAAGCAAAATTATCTTAGAATTCCAGCAAGCTCTTAGATCAAAATTCATTATTATTATTTCTAAGCTTACATTTGCATTTTCAAAACTGCGTGTTTAAAACTTAGCTTTGGTTTATCCAAAAATAATTTTAGTTCGATTGTTTAGGACTTTCAAATTTTTGACACACTTTCGAATCCGTGCCTGGAACACCAACAAGTACTGAGTAATGAGTGTAAATTTTCGTGCTAAAGGAAGCAACGACTTGCCCCTGGTGGGGTTTGAACACATGCGGCTAGCGAACATGAGATTACTAGTCCGACGCGTTAAACTCTCGGCCATGCCATCAAACCTTAGCTTTATGATGGTACTTTATATCAAGTTATTTATACTATATTTTTCGAGTCCGAGATTGAAAAAAATATAGGCTTATATCATGCTTGCATCGAACTATTTTAGAACCAGTTCGTAGACTAGGAGTTTTTCTTTTCAAAACTCTACAAAGATCTCGACTGATAACTATAAAGGTGGCCTAGATACCCTTTTCAAATCACGTACGAAAACTGAACAATGAGACACTCGAAGTACTAAATTATCAACCAAACAAGTGTTTTTGACGACCAATTTTCAGATTTGGCCCTCACTTATCTAATGACAAGACAATACAAGTTCAAATAGGCTTGTCAAGATTTGTTAGAGTTAAAATATAAATTTATAAAATATTTTAGGATCATAAATTTTGAGGTTATGAACAGAATCAAAAAGCCCTGTGTTTGGTTGAGTACATTGACGTTATGTGTCTGTATTCCATTTTTTTTTCAATTTATTAAATCACACATGCTTTATTAGTAACATTTTTTAACTATCTCAAATAAACAAAATTCGAAAAGAAGTAAAATACAGTTATACAAAATTTGTTTTCT